CTGCTGCTGACCCTGCTGTTCTTCCCTGCTCCTCTGCTTGCTGCTCTCCAGGCAGCTGTTCACCCACGGCCTGGTATGCTCTCTTGGGCTCCACCTTCACAAATCGCACCGGCAGCTCGCCCAAAGGCCCTTCCTTCTTCCAGTACCGTGTTCGAAACTCGACCTTCTCGGTCCAAGTGCATATGGTCATTCCCACCGCGAACACTAGCTCAGTGCCCACCAACACATCGAAGTCCTCTGACTCTGAAATCCCACACCTCATGCGGATCTTGGTCTCATGCTCCCCCCCCCGGCAGCAGCGTCACTTCTATGGGCGTTCGGGTGCATGGCATCCACTTTGGTTCCCCTCCCTCCGCCGTCATTACCAGCATCCCCTTGGCCACATGCCTCTCTGGCGCTAGCAACCCCAGCCTCTCAGCCATCCCCCTTCCTAGCATCACACTCTGTGCTCCTGTGTCTATGATTGCAGTCTTCACCTTCTCTCCCTCCACTTCCATTGCTCCCTTTTCTAGCAACAGCACTGAGGACTGGCATGCTAGTCTTTCTTGGGGATGGCGTGCTGGGGCTCGTTCCAGGGCCGGCTCAGCTGGCTTCTCTCCCTTCGCTTGTTCCTTCCTTCCCTGCTCCCGCCTGCCGTCCTTCCCTCCGCTCCTCAGCCCCATTTCTTCTCTTCCTCTCCATGCCATGAGCGCACACTGCACATCTTGCTCCACCTCCTCCTCTTCGTCTCTGGCATACATCCCTGCCTCGGCCTCCCCTCTTAGCCCTGTTGCCCTCAGCTGTGCCTGTAGCTTGCTGATCTGCCGTTGCAGCTCCTCTGGGTGCCTCTTAGGCCCTCCCTCTCTCTGGTAGCAGTCCTTTGCCTCGTGTCCTCGTTTCTTGCAAATCTCACACCTGGCTGCATCTGGGCATTCCCGTTTCCTATGCCCTGGCTTCCCGCAACCGTCACAGTTCTTGCAGTCCCTGCGTAGATGTCCTGGCTGCCCACACCTGTGACATGTCCTGGTGTCAGGTCCTGTCTCCCCTCGCCCCTCTATTCTTCCTCCCCCCTCTGGTATGATGGCCGCTGCCCACGTCGGCCTCCTGCTTCTCTCTGTTGGCCTGGGCAGATAAGCCTCGTACTTCCTCTGTGCGAGCTCCACCCTTTCTGCCAGATCAAACACCTCTTCTAGGCTTGCCTCCACGCCCAGCTCATACACTCTCATCCTCAACCCCCCCCCAAGAGCCTCGTCTAGGCCCCCTAGGAACTTGCTGATGAGAAGGCTGTTGTCCGTGCATCTCACGTCTTCCGCCACGTTAATCAATCTATTGTAGTAGGTCAGCAGTGACTCCGTCCGGCCCCTCCTAAATTCCTGGAATTCCCTTATGCGCTCCGCCGTGTGCCCTGGGAATTGCCGCTGCAGTCTCTCCAGAAATGCCTCGGTGGGGTCTTCTCCGTACCTCCCTGCCCTCCAGAGTAGTTCCTCCATCCTCATGCGGTACAGGGTCTCGGCCTCTCCCTCCAATGTGTTCGGTAGGCTCAAGAAGAAGTCCACCGGGTCCATATCGTGCCTGTCGCAGCGGTACCGCACATTCCCCACCTGCATCAGGTAATTCTTGAGGGTAGGCCCCGCGCGCTGATCTCCCGAGAACCTGGCGGGCACCTCCATTCGCGGGGTGCTGGCCGCACCCCCTCGCCCCTCTCCCCATGCCTCACTGGCTCCCCTCTGCCAGCGTCTCTCAGCTCCTCTCTCCCTTGCCTTTTGCATGCCTTCTCTGGCCTCCCGTGCCCGTTCTGCGCCGTACACCAGGCTTACGCCCTCCGCTCTGCTCTCTTGGCGGCTCCCTTCCACCCCGCGGCGCCTTTCCCTCGGCCCTACCCACTCTTCCGCCCGTCCCCATTGCTGCGTGGGCGGGTCGTGCGTCCTCCGCCCTTCCCACCTCCTGATGTCGCGCTGCTGTCGCCTCTCTGGTGACGGTGACCAGGTGCCTTCCCTCCTGCTGCGCTGCTGGTGGCGCTCTGGCGAGTGCCTTTCTCTTCCGTACTTCTCCCTCCGCGGGCGGCGCCACTCGGGCGAGCGGGACCCGCTACCATCCTTCTCTTCTCTCCGCCTCGGCCGACCCGGCGAGCGCCCCATGCCACTGCGTTCCCCGTGCTGCTGACCGCGGCGCTCCTGTGACCCCCGCTCCTCCCCGTGCCTTCCTTCCTGGCGCCCGTGCGGCTCAGGTGAGCGCGACTCATCCTTCCTTTTGCCACCGCGCGCTCGCTGCTGTTCTGGCAAACGCACGCCGCCGCCGCTCCAGCCGTCCTGCTCCTATCGCCTACCATGCGGGCGAAAGTTGCCTACGCGCCATTCCCCATGGTGCGGATCCTTCTCCGGCGTGCGCGACCGCTCTGCCCTCCCCTTGCCATCATGATGCAGCCTCTGCGCCAGTGCAGCTCGAACACCGTCGGCTGTGGTCACTCGCTCCTGGCGCAGTGAGCCTTCCGCGCGCTGCTCTTCCCCACGGCTGACGTCTCGGTCGCGCGCTTCCCACAGTGCGGCCCTCGATTCTTTGGCTGCCGCCTGGCTCACGCCAGCGCTCTCGTCTGCCTGCGCGGGTTCAGCCTCACCTGTTCCCGCTGCCTGGTCGTCGCCGTCATTTCCTTCATCGGCCTCCTCGACCTGCAGCCCCGGGTGCTCCTCTCTTCTTCCGCGCCTTGCTCCGCTGCCACGTCATGTGCCGCATTCTCTTGCAGGATCCCCACTTGGTCGTCGCCACCCATGTCTCCTCCCCGTCCCCGGGGACGTTCCCCGAAACCTCGCCAACGGCCTCTCTCATCCCGGCGCCGCTCTCGCTCTTCCGGAGAGCGGAACACTCCTGCGTCGCGGCGGGTTCCACGGTCCTCGCCAGGTCCACGTGCTCTCCCTCGCACCCACGCGTCTCTATCCATGCCGCCGCCGTGCCCGTCGTCGCCTGCTCCCACACCCGTCGATCCTTCGTCTCGACGGTCCCGTGCGAGAGGGATTCGATCCGCGCGAAAGGCCGGGCGGCGCGGCGATCGCTCCAATGACCGCCTTCGTTCACGTGATGGCTCGCGTCGCGGCCGTTCCTCCTCCCGGCGGCTGAACATCCTACCCCAACGCAATTCGTACTTATCCATATCTACTCTACTCGTTACTGCTCGAGGCCCGCTTTTGCGATTGTAATGAAAGTGCTTAGTCCCTCACCCCGTAGGTTCCCTCTTAGTGACGTGCCTCAGTATGCTAGAGCGAAGATAGCAGATTTCACTAGTTCGAGAGAATTACAATCGCAAAAGCATCGAGGGGTTGGACGTGAGTGCCCTTACCCAACCCCAGGCTGCACATTTCCAAATGTGCGGCTCGGGGTTTGGGATGGACAGGTTTCACATTTCGCCCTTTGGTGTCTTTTCCCCCTTTTTATCCCAACCGCTCTTATCTCGTTTCCCCCCTTCTACACCCCATTCTAAACAGTCACCTCGCTACATTCTACACATTCTACACCTTCAGCTATTTCTCTTCTATCTTATTATATCCAGCTATTCTTCCTGTGCTAGCAACCTAGAGCCCTGCCAATACCCTTACCCTACTGTTATGGCATATGCATTAGGTGCATATGCTGTGACAGCGTCAGACAGGCGACCAAAACAGCGCTGCGGCGAGTGTGGCAGGCCGCACGTCTCCCCACGGCGCCCGCCGGTGCGGAGAACGTTCGTGCAGGGATCAGCACCCCCAGACCTCCCACGCCCAGCGTACCACTCACGAAGCTGCTTGGGCGACGGGGTCTCGCGGGAACGCTGCTGCTGCTGGCGCTGGCTACCGCCAAAGCCTCCACGCTGCGCAGCTCCACCCTGACCAGCACCACCACCGCCGCCACCTCCACCGCCGCCGTTGCTGCCTCCACCGCCGTTGCCGCTGCCTCCACCAACGCTGCCGCTGCCTCCACCACCTCCACCGCCGCCACCGACGCCCCCACTCCCGCCACCACCCTTGCCCCCACCCCCACCCCCTCCGCCTCCTCCACCGCCACCACCGCCACCCCCGTCGTCCCCTCCACCACCCTTGCCCCCCTTGCCCTTGCTGCTGCGGTGCCTCCCACTGGGAGCAGACTGCAGGTGAGGCAGGCGCGAGGCGCGCGACGGGGCAGGCAGGCACGGCAGCGCGCTTCGGGCAGGGCAGGAAAAAAAAAGTTCGTGGTGGGCCCTAAAAAAAAAGCGTTCCCACTAGGGAACCTGCTCTGAAACCATGTGAAATTAGAACGAGGAATGATTGCATTGACCAGCATGAGGAGTACAAGTAGGAAACCCTAAAGTGTTGTGCCCCATATGAACTACCCCACTACAGCAGACTATCGCAAATAAGTTTGACACTGTGAGTACCACTGAACCCTGTCCTCCAAGCACGAGTCCTATGCCCGATGTACTGCACAAGTAACGCAGTACCCTCTTCGCAGCATACCAGTGCACTTTTCGATGTCTACCAGGAGCCACGTAGCTAGCCAGGAGGCTTAGAGGGTACGCAAGGTCAGTTTGTTTGCATGTCATCAGGTACATGAGGCAACCCACAAGCTCTGGGCATGGACCACTTGGCTCTACGGACTCGTCCGAAGGTGGAGCTGAGAGCGAGTGACCGGTAGGCAGAGGAGTGGGGTGTGACGAGGAGAACTGGAAGCCAAAGCGCTGGAGGACCTGGTACACCATGTGTGACTGAGTCAGGATGATGGTGCGCCGTGCTCTGTCCCGGGTGATCTGCAAGCCAAGATAGCTCCGCGACTCAACCAGGTTAGTGCAGGGGTGTCTCTCCTTCAGCTCCGCCTTCACTAGGGCCAGCGCCTAAGTGTCAGCAGTAGCAAAGACTAAGTCGTCGCCGTACACGAGAACGTAAAACGGCGGCAGGGTAGTGTCGGTGCGTAGAAACAGCGACGGGTCAGCAGAGGAAAGGAGAAAACCCAAGAGCCACAAGTGTCGTCCTCAGTGTGTCATGCCACCCGCGGGGCGCCTGGCGGAGACCATAGACTGGTCACCGTAGGCTCCACTGGGTACCCGCAAGAAACGACTCAGTGAAGCCCTTTGGTCGACGCAGCCAAATGGCCTCGTGAAGGCTACCTTGCAAGAAAGCTGTCAAGAAGTCGAGGGAGTGCAGCTTGTAGTCACGCTGTGCTGCAACGTGTAGCAACACCCGAAGAGTAGTCATCTTCGAGGTAGGGGAGAAGGTCTGAAAGAAGTCAACCCCCTGTCGCTGATTGAAGCCTCGAGCAACGTAACGCGCCTTAAAGGCAGGCGGACAACCCGGCGGCCACTTTACCATGAAAATCCACATGCCACGGACGATGTTCGCTCCAGGTGGGGGAACCTCGGCGATGTAGGTGCATGCGGACTTCCAGGAAGCCATCTCTGCGTCCATGGCTGCCTGCCACTGAGAGGAGTACTCGCTCGAGATCGCCTCTGTGTAAGAGCGCGGGGTGGGAATGTCAAGTGCATACGGGTCTCTCTCACGGCAAAATAGCATGGATGCGAAACGGGGTAAAGCGGCCGCAAGACACTCAAGCTCAAACTGCCTATCCTCCAAGACGTCATTGCTAAGGGCAGGCTCACCCCCGACGGACGGAGGACAGACAGACTCTGACTCAGTAACAAGACTCGCGACGTAGTCGAGACGACTCCTAGCTGCAAAGTCGACTAGCTCAGTGGCTAGGGCAAACGCAGCAGTAGACTCAAAGTCAGGGCCAGTGACGACAGTAGCGAGGAGATGAGTGACAGTAGGACTGGCAGCACGAGCAAGGTCGGACGCAGGGTCAGGAACGTGCGGAAGAGAGGACGCGGGAGGCTCAGGCAGGACAACACGCTGTGGAACAGAGGAAGGACAAAGTGCCATACCGTGAGTGCCTAGGACAGCAAGAGGACAAGGACGGGCGACACGACGAGCACGATCAGGTGTGGAAGCACGAGTCTCAGGCTCACGACGCTCAGTCAGGGAATCAGTCACCTCAGTGTGAGGAGAAGGAGCAGGCAGCGGGGAGACAGGCAGTAGCTGTGGCTGAGACTCGTCTGTCGGTGGACACATGAGAGATGGAGTGAGGCCAGTGGAAGACGGGAGACTAAGAACCTGGTGAAGGACCGAGTCAGGCAGCGGTAGGGACGACTACGGCTGCGGGTAGAAAAACAGTCGGTGTGGGGCAGTACCAGCAGCTCCAGCACCTCCAGCACCTCCAGCACCAGCAGCTCCAGTAGCACCTCCAGCACCAGCAGCACCACGAGCTCCAGCAGCGCTAGCACCTCTAGCAGCAGCAGTACCTCCAGCACCTCCAGCACCAGCAGCACCTCCAGCTCTCCTAGCAGCACCTCCACCAGCAGCAGCAGTACCACAAGCAGCAGCAGCAGTAGTTGTAGAAGTAGGGCGGCTCAGTGAGACTAGGCGGCAGCACCTCCAGCACTCCCAGCAGCACCTCCACCAACAGCAGCAGTAGCACGAGCAGCAGGGCGGATCGGGTGGTGCAGGGTGGCTCGGGATGAGCGGCGTGGCTCGGCCTGAGCGGCGCGGGCAGAGGGGCGCGCACTGTGCAGGGCAGCAGGGCGCGACGCGCGGGCTGCAGCAGGGCGCGACGCGCGGGGCAGCAGCAGGGCGCGACGCGCGGGGCAGCAGTGCGCGACGCACGGGCTGCAGTAGGGCGCGACGCGCGGGCTGCAGCAGGGCGCGACGCGAGGGGCAGCAGAGCACGACGCGCGGGCTGCCGTAGGGCGCGACGCGCGAAGCAGCCGAGCTCGACGTGCGGGCTGCAGCAGGGTGCGACGCGTGGAGCAGCAGAGCGCGACGTGCGGGCTGCAGCAGGGCGCGACGCGCAGGGCAGTAGGGCGCAAACCCTGCAGACGCAACCCTGCAGACGGGGCGCGCTGGGGCAGGAGTTGCTCGCAAGCAGAAGGGGCGCGCAGGGCAGGGGCTGCTCGCGGGCAGCAGGGGCGCTCGGGGCAGGGGCTGCTCACAGGCAGCAGTGGCGCGCGGGGCAGGGGCTGCTCGCGGGCAGTAGGGGCGCTCGGGGCAGGGGCTGCTCACAGGCAGCAGTGGCGCGTGGGGCAGGGGCTGCTCGCGGGCAGCAGGGGCGCTCGGGGCAGGGGCTGCGTACAGGTAGTAGTGGCGCGCGGGGCAGGGGCTGCTCGCAAGCAGCAGGGGCGCGCAGGGCAGGGGCTGCACGCGCGCAGCAGGGGCACGCGGGGCAGGGGCTGCTCTCGTGCAGCAGGGGCGCGCGTGACAGTAGGCCAGTGCATTAGGAAGGCAGTGCGAGTAGCTGCACGGCAGCGTGACACTGCGCGAGAGGGCCGGACAGCGCTAGGGCGCTTCAGACAGGAACTTAGCAAGACAATCGGTGGGCCCTAAAAACTTAACAGGTTTCCTGCTCTGAATACCATGTCAGAATCACTGTGCAGGAATGAATGAACTATGAATGAGTTGGGTACAAGTACTAACACCAAAATGTTGTAACCCTTGTAGGCTAACCCATTGTAGCCTGGAGAGAACACAAACATAAAGTTTGACAAGGGCGACGGGAGAGATGAAGGGCGACGGGAGAGATGAAGGGCGACGGGATAGTAGGAAGGGCGACGAGAAAGAAAGGCGACGGGAGAGTAGGAAGGGCGACGGGAGAGTAGGAAGGGCGACGAGACGGCATTGGGACGGACGGAAGAACTAGTAGTACTTCACCCATGCCCAACTTGAAACCCAAGCTGGGCAAAAAATCGCAGGGACAAAACGATCGCAGTGCTTCTTCTATGCGGCTCCCCAAACAGAGATGCGACGCCTAACGTGCTGTCTTCATTTTCTCGGTTTTGGCGGGAACCAATCAGATATGTTCGATCTGTTCAATCGCTCTCAATGAAACAGTGCAAACTTGTCATTTTGGTTTTGAAAATTGTTTCGCTCGACAAGCTCTCTTTCAAGCTAGAGACAGGTTCACTATTTTGCATTTCGGTTTTAAGCAGAACGTTTCTACAGTGCTTTGTTAAACCAACTGGGGATTTTACTGACTGCTCCCATAGTGAGCTGTCTTGTGCACTCCACCTCAGCTTTCCAGCATGGGTAAACCTCAATTTACGTCCCAATTGGCACGCCAGGTGGGCATAGCCTTAGAATAACCCGGCAGGCTGGCATCACACGAATTGTCCACGTGGACATTGGAAACGGATTTGACGGTATGGCAACCAACTTTCTGTACAGTAAGCGATCAGCGTGCGTGGTGATATGGGGAGTCGCCTGGATTCTGGTGATCGATGCCCCAATTGCAACCCGCTCGCAGGTGGTGATCGGTTGTTGTACTGTACTGCCCTCCGGACTTGCGTTTTGAATTACAGTTCCAATTGTCTGCTACTTGGAATGGAGGCATACTAGCTCCCCCACCACGTCGCTGCTCACTCTCCGTAATTCACACTCGCACTTAAAACCCTTCATGCTACGTGTCAGAGTCCTATTGCTCCCGCTTTGCTTGTGGGTGTTTTTCATGCTCGACTCGACTTGTGTACCATTTCGGGAAACACGTTCTCGGTATGCAATCTAGTGTCTAGTGCAGCTTTGGCAAGAAATCCGCGACTCGACGGAACTCTCGACGCTGGGAATTGGCGGCACGGGCCACCAGCTGACTTGTTTTCAGCCAGTACCCCTTGCCTTCGCCCCAAATCCCAGCAAGCTGTTCCTGAATATTTTCAGTGCGGTTGAATGTTTTTGAAGCATTATACATAGCTTTGTAGACTGGTTCGGTAGGGTTGTGAGCAAGTCAGAGATTGTAGGAACTTTGGAGTGCCCGTGGACAATGCTGTCGCTGACATGTTTCGCGCCGCGTTTCTTGGGTTTTTTTGTGTGGCAAGCCAAGAAACCATCAGCGATTCAGCTCAGCGGGCTAGCGGGCTCAAGGCAGATCAAGAAGTGCTAGCCTTCATTTGGCTTTCCTACGTTTTTGGATCAACTTCTGAGCAAATCTCGACAAGAAGGACCCAGCAACTAGCTGACGAACCTAGTTCTCATTCACCTCCAGGTCTCCTGATCCACAGAAGACTCCGTATCTCAAAACCTTTTCCATTTTACACTTTCATTTCGAAAGTAGTAATTATCCACGCTTTTGTACAGTTCATCATGGCGGACGGCAAGTTCTTCGCGTACGCGTGTCTGGGCCCCAAGCAGAAGTTTGAGCCGTTTCACTACGAGCCGGCCCCGCTGGGACCCAACGACGTGCAGATTAAAGTCACGCATAACGGCCTGTGAGTCGCTCGTAACAGCCTGTGAGTCAGCTATAGTCGAGGATTTTCAGCTCCCTTGCTTGCGAGGTCAGTCGATTCGAGTTCCCCTCGCTTTTACGATGGCGTTCAAAATGAAATAACTCAGACGATTGTCCTGAATTTCCCGTTCACGTGCGTAGGAACGGCATGTCATTGTGGTCGAGCTATTCTGCGTGTGTTCTTGACGTCCGCTGATAATTTGGAGATGACTCAAAAGAAAAGACATCGTCACTCAGTCAAGTCGGCGGTAGTTCGTGCTGTGCTCGTTGCTGTTGGTTTCTGTATGACAGATCATGTGGTGGTTTTCGGAAGTCGTCGCTCCGTACCCGTTAGAAGCTTGTCCCGCTTACGCCATCCGTCGTCTTGATGTTTCGCGCAGGTGCCACACGGACCTGCACATGCGTGACAACGACTGGAACAACGCGACGTACCCGTTAGTAGCAGGCCACGAGGTGGTGGGCATAGTGGAGCAGGTCGGCGCCAACGTCACCACGCACAAAGTCGTAAGTAACTATTTATCATTTGCTCGCTTCGCTCCTATCCGTTCAACTGAGGAGACGGGTGAAATTGAACGAAATTCTTGATTTTCAGCGAGTCGTCGACTCAGTAGTGCCCGAGCGGTACGGAATTTCAAATTTAACTGTAATTCGAAGTCTGTAGTAACACCGTCTCACCCTCCTCTCGAATCGGAGTGACTTCTGATCCTGCCGCGCGCTGAGAGACTTGTGTATGCGCCGTATGAGCAGAAGCGCCTGTTCGAGGGATGAATGCGGGGTGTGGAGAACTCCCGCGCGCTGAGGGAAGAAACGCGCGGAGCTCATCCCCCCCCCGCGCTGAGCTTCCGCGCCCCCTGCTAAAGCCCAATCGCGTTCCTCCTTGTGCAAATGCAGGGGGACCGCGTCGCATGGCTCCGCGACTCCTACCGGAACTCCTTTTGCCCCATTTCACCCATCCGCACCCATCCTTCTCTACCCATCCCACCCATCCGCACCGATCCACATTCATAGGGCGACCATGTGGCCTATGGTTGGCTCCGCGATTCCTGCCGCTCGTGCCTCTCGTGTGTGCGCGGGGAGGAGAACCTGTGCGCGGAGGGTAGGGGCACACGGGGCTCATCTCATCCTCCCATCTCTCTCTGCCCATCCGCACCCACAGGGCGACCGCGTGGCCTACGGCTGGCTCCGCGATTCCTGCCGCTCGTGCCTCTCCTGCGTGCGCGGGGAGGAAAACCTGTGCGCGGAGGGCTACACGGGGCTCATCCTCAACGGCAACAAGGGCGGCTTCCAGCCGCGCCTGCGCGCCCCCGCTGACTTCGCCATCAAGCTGCCCGAGGGGTTGGATTCGGTTGATGCCGCTCCTCTCATGTGCGCTGGTGAGTACCGAACTCCTGTAATGATGTGTGTCTCAGCGCCTCTCGTGCGCCCCCTTGGGGATGCGCCTGCGCGCCCCTGCTGACTTTGCTGTTATGCTCCCCGGTGGGCTGGACTCGATTGATGCCGCTCCTCTCATGTGCGCCTGTGAGTGTCTAGTAATGCACGGATCATGGGGGCTGGGGGCTGGGGGCTGGGATTGGGGGCTCATGGGTCATCCTGGGGGACAACAAGGGCGGCTTCCAGCCGCGCCTGCGCGCCCCCGCTGACTTCGCCATCAAGCTGCGAGATGGCGCGGGTTCCGTGGACGCTGCTCCTCTTATGTGCGCCAGTGAGGCGCGTGTTACTGCTTGCTTGCATGCATTCATTTGCCCCTGTCGCGTGCCTGCGCGCCCCCTCGCACCCTCGCATCCTCCCTTCCTTGTCCTTTTCCTCCTCCTCACACCCTCGCTTCCTCCATTCCTTGTCCTTTTCCCCCTCTCCCCTCTCCCCTACCCTCCTCCCCTTCCAGGCATCACCGTGTACAGCCCTCTGCGTGCGCACATCACCCGCCCCGGCATGAAAGTGGGCGTCATCGGCATTGGCGGGCTGGGCCATCTCGCTTTACAGATCGCGCGGGCCATGGGGGCACACGTGAGTGCCTTCTCCACCTCGCCCAGCAAGGAGGAGGAGGCCAAGAGAATGGGCGCGCAGCAGTTTGTGGTGTATGACGCCCAGGCTGCGCCAGGAAAGGGACATCCGGAGGTGCCCAAGAGCGCGCACGTGGATGTGCTGGTGAACTGCGCGCCTGTGCTGCCTCCTCAAGGCGATTACAGGAACTTCATGAGCCTCCTGAGGCCCGATGGCACGTGAGTCAAGGCTTGGGTAGGGGTTGGGTTGGTAGGGCTGGGATAGGGGAATGGGGCAGCCTTCCCCGCATTAGCGAGGAGCATGGGCGCACAGCAGTTTGTGGTGTATGATCCGAACGCTGCGCCTGGAAAGGGGCATCCCGAAGTGCCCAAGAGCGCGCATGTGGATGTGCTGGTGAACTGCGCTCCCGTGCTGCCGCCCTATGGGGATTATCTCAACTTCATGAGCTTGCTAAACCCGGATGGCACGTGATTGTAGGCAAGGGTAGGAGTGGGGTAGGGGTACGGTAATGGGCCGGCCTTCTCTGCATGGGCGCGCAGCAGTCCGTGGTGTATGACACGCATGCTGCCCAAGAGCGCACATGTGGATGTTTTGGTGAACTGTGCGCGCCTGTGCTGCCGCAACAACGATTAACGCAACTGTGCTGATTTTCCTCATCCCTCTTTCCCCTGTCCCTCCTCACCCGTTCCCTCCTGCCCCCCCCTTCCTGCTCTCCTCTCTCCCCTGTACCCTTTTCCCCTTGCCCATTCCCCCTTCCCCCTTCTCAGACTTGTCCTGACCGGGATTCCACCAGATGCTGTCGGGCAGGTGGGCCTGCTGGATCTGATTTTCGGGCAGAAAAAACTTGCAGGATCGGTGGTGGGCGGGCGGATGCTGTTGAAAGAAATGTTTGACTTCTGCGCTGCTAACAGCATCAAGCCCGTGACTGTGGTGAGTGTGACTGTGGCGAGTGTGACTGTGGTGAGTGTGACTATGACGAGTGTGAGTGTGGCTAATGTTATTGTGGTGTTCAAGGGTGTGGGGGGGAGAGTGTTGGTGGGTGTGAGTAGCATTGTTCGTGTGAACAGAGCTGCTTGTGCAGGTATGGTGATTTTTGTGCACATCACAACCTGGTTACCACCCTGCCATTACCTGGTTACCACCCTCTCACCTCCCTTCACAACCCTCTCACCTCCCTTCACAACCCTCTCACCTCCCTTCACAACCCTCTCACCTCCCTTCACAACCCTCTCAACTCCCTTCACAACCCTCTCACCTCCCTTTACCACCCTGTATCACTTACAGACGCGCCCGCTGTTGCAGCTGAACGAGGCTATGGATGAGGTGGAAGCTATTCCTCGCTCACAAACTCACCATCCCTCCCATCATTGCCTCTCACCTACCTTTCATCTCTCTCCCTCTCCCCTCCCTCTTACCACTTGTTACAGACGCGTCCACTGTCGCAGCTGAACGAGGCAATGGACGACGTTTTGGCCAACAAGGTCCGCTACCGTGTTGTGCTGCTGACCGATGCTGAGTAGATTTGGGTGTGTGTGGATAGATATGGACCGTTGCGGCTCACTTGAATAGATACAGATGGGTGGATGGATATTTGGATGGATGAAGTGGACTCCAAAAAGTGAAATTTCCAGATTCGGGCTCAAGGAGTGTTCGGTGAATTCGGTTCGGTTGCGTGTGCGACTTGGGGTGAAACGAGGCGCACGCGGTTACTTGGGAAACAAGTGAAGTTACGAATCGCATTTTGTGTCTTGCCTGACTATAAACCTGTTTGTACTCATTCTGGAAAGACAACATTGGACAACATTGAAACTTGGAGATTCTGAAAATTGCTGAAGTGTGTATTGACAACTTCAAGCAGAGCTGCGCATATCGTTGGATTTGGGAGATCGTGGAGAACACGATAAGCAATAGCAAGTAGACTATTGCCGACTAAGGTGTTTACGATCCTAAGAGGATGGATATTTGGATGGATGAAGTGGACTCCAAAAAGGTCCGCTTCCGTATTGTGCTGCTCAATGATGCTGAGTAAACACAGATGGGTGGATGGCTACACTGTGTGCGGGAGGGTGCGTGAGTGGGTGGGTGGGTGGGAGGATACTCTCACCACCTGGATAGTATGTGTCGAATCTTATACTGGTCTGAAAAATGTATGGCCACCCTGTAACAGAAGTTTATGGGTATTTTAATAAACTTTATAAGTAGTCGTTTTTGTAAAAGTTATTTGTACCATGTTGGTCATTGAATGTGTGGGCGATCTAGGTGTGTTATGCATGTGACGGCATCATTATGCCATGTAAGTTTTGCATAAAGTTTTGCTTTCTAGCAGAAATTTATTGAATCAGGTGAAACAAGGATGAAAATGAAATATGATTTGTATTAAATACCAGCGCATCTTCCCGTCATGATGTTGTTTAAAACAAAATTGTACTCAGTCACCTTTTTGAAAGTGTTGAGTTCTGCAAAATTCCAAGCCCTAAATTCTCGCAGAACATGCATAACAGCGATGCCCATTTTTGCTACGGGTTTCAGGTTCTGGAGGGACCCACCCGAGCCCACGCTCGCTCTGCCATACCTCCCCCTCCTCCCCTCCACCGTTCCGAAGTGGCCCTTCTCTCACAGTCGTTTCTGTCCCAACAGATCAAAGTAGCTTGTGCTTGGCTTGAGGACCAGTAGAAAGCTTGTGCTTGCAGGTTGCGTTGGTGAGCCAACTCTCCAGCGTCTATCGTGACTTCCTTTTGTGTGCTTTATTTCGACGTTCTGCTCGGTTTGCGCATGAACTTTCCTCACAGGCATGTTTGCCTTTTCGTTTCAGTGCATATTGACTGGATTTCGCTTGCGTGAGTGACGATCAACAAAGATTATGATAGGAAGACCAGAAGTGCTTGCTTTCAGCTGGCGCTTATGCTGTTATTTCGATCCAGCTGACACGCATTGCATTGGAATCCTGCCAAAGTAATAAGCCGTCACTGCATTCGTTTCCGCTCATTCTTTACGCCAACCCAGTGCATTTCGTTTCAGTTTTTGCTTCGTCCATCCGTGACGGACGCTCTCAGTCCTTTTCTTCCTGCGCGTGACGATCCCGTAGGGACATCGGAGCTCTCACAAGGAGCACTGACCGATCCAATACACGGAATTAATGGGAATCTCTCTGATGCAGGAACTTTTTGCTTATTTTCCTCTCTTAGTTTGCAATTTCTGCAGGTTTCTAATTTATCAGATTTTAAGAGTCCGCGTTAGAATGAACTTGACGTCTTGGCTTGTGTCCATTTTGCGCATCTGGGCATTGTTTCCCGCCTCTGTCTGTCACACCCACTTTCCTGCACGTGATGATGCCGTAGGGACATCGGAACTCCTAAGGGAGTAGTGACCGATCCAAAATACGGAATTAATGGGAATCTCTCTGATGCAGGAACCCACATGTACTCGGTTCTCCCCACCTTACGCTGATGTGTTGTGTTGAACCGTTTCTCAACCTTCCCCTCTACCCTTTCTCCTTATACCAGTCTTAGGAAGTCAAAGCATGCGTTCTCCTTTGATGTGGGTTTCCCTTATCACCCTTTCCCTCTACCCTTTCTCCTTCCAACATACCAGTTTCAACCAAAATCTCAGCCCACTATATCACGTAGAGTGTCTGAATGGATACATATTCTGCACAGAAACATTGAGCGCAATAAAACCTTCAGGAATCATGTTTGTAATGTAAAGGAAAGCAATCATTAGCACGATTCTGTGGTCAAGCTAGCTAGCTGGGTACGGAGGCTCTTTGAACAGAAAATAAGAAGCACAAATCAACCTACGCATTCTCAATTACATATATTCGCCACATGTGCTCACCTAACACAGTAACACCACAGCACGTTTCTCCTGGCAGAACAGCACGACTTTGTTGGCTCTTTGGCGGCTCGCTTCGCTATCCATGCCCGTCCCCATGCCTTGGGCTGGTTGCATTGCACAGTGATGAGCCTGCTAAGCTAGTCGAGAAGTAGAAATCAATTGGCGCCGCGCACAGCTTAGCAGACTCAGTTTCAGAGGAATTCGGTCAGCCTGGGTCGCGAAGAAGCGTGGGCGATTCGACGAGAACCATGTGATTCAACAACCGTGACTAGACGAGCTGTGACTAAACGAGCCCATGAAAAAACGAGCCGACTAGCCGAGCCGTGACTGTAAATGCTCCAGGTATCAGCAATAGACCGCGCATGTTTCAACCTTTAGACAAGGTGACGATTGCTGCAGAGGCGCACACTCACCGATGCTCGCAGCAGAGCAAGCAGGTCCAGCAGCAACTACGCGTCGCCAGCAATCGACACTCACCGATGCTCGCAGCAGCTGCGCGTCGCCATCTGCCGCTCTAGTAGGAGCCGTGACTGTAGGGGAGCCGTGATTGTCGGGGACCCGAGATTGTAGGGGCGGCGAGTGCAAAAGCCGCCTTGATTGTCCCACCCTGCAATGGACCGCACATTGAAGGGTTTGGATAAGCTGACGATTGCTGCCGAGGCGAACAGCTACTGACTTTTAAGCCAACCCCCATCGGTCTATTCGCTGAAGTCATCTTGATTCTCTCACCCAGCGACGGAGCGCGCATTACAGGGTTTGGGTAAGCTGACGATCGCTGCCGAGGCGAACACCCACTGACTTTTGAGTCAACGCCGGTCAACGTTATTGTACACTCGCTAGTCAACGCTTCCGGACCTTCTCGCCCTGCTCTCCTCGGCCTCTGCCATTCTTGATAGACTCCCTGTAAGCTGTTCCGATATAATGTATTCTCCTATCATGCATCACTGTAAGCAGCTGCTCCCTCTTGCCACGTCTTTTCTCCCTCTTTGATTACTATCTTCGGTATAGGCATACTCAGTAACTTCACTGTGGTAGTCAGTCCATATGCTATGCTACCCTTTCAGCTGTCTAGTTTTTCCATAACCTCCCTCTGCTCCCTCTCCTCCCTCTGCCCTGCTCCTCCTCCCTCTGCTCCCTCTGCTCCCTCTGCTCCCTCTCCTCCCTCTGCCCTGCTCCTCCTCCCTCTGCTCCCTCTCCACCCTCTCTGCCCTGCTCCTCCTCCCTCTGCTCCCTCTCCTCCCTCTGCCCTGCTCCTCCTCCCTCTGCTCCCTCTGCTCCCTCTCCACCCTCTCTGCCTTGCTCCCTCTGCTTCCTCTCCCTCTTCTCCATTTTCTCTGCTCCCTCAGCTGCCCTGCTGCTACCATCTCTGTCCCCGTGGTGCCATGTGTGAACGAGGCATGCTCTTCATGTGTGACAGGAAGAGCAGATCATCGACCCATGCTTCACATCTCCCCTTTCTCCTCCGCTCCCTCGCCTCCCTCCCCGCCCTGCCCCCTCTGCTCCCTCTCCTCCCCGCCCTGCCCCCTCTGCGTCCTCTCCTCCTTTACCCTGCTCCCCACCACCCCCCCGCCCTGCTGCGACCATCTCTGTCCCCGTGGTGCCATGTGTGACGGGAAGGGCAGATCATCGACCCATGCTTCCTATCTCCACAGCCGCTCATTCTCCCCGTGTTTCCCAACATCCACTCATCCCTTTGCTCCCTTTTCTCCTCTGATTCCTCTGCTCCCTGCACCCTCTGCCTCCTCTGCTCCCTCTACTGCCCTCTCTGCTGCTTCCGCTCTCTCTGCTCCTTCACATCTCCCCCCTCCGCTCCTGCTACTCCACGCATATGACTCACCCTACCACCTACCTCCATCCATACCAGCCCCTGTCCCTCTCCTTGCTCTGTTCCCACTCACACGTCTCTACAGGTCTCCCCATACACACCATCCGCTTTCCCTCCCCCCTTCTCCTCCCGTTCGCTTCTCTTGGATTGCAGGTGCTTCTCAATTTATCCCCTCCTCCATCTCTTCTCCAACATCCCCATACATAACCTCTCCTCCCGCTCCTCACTTTCGCTTCAGTTGGATAGCAGGTGCTTCTTAATTTAACCAGCTACGGAACGGAGTGTTGCAACTGTCCGGCAACCCTCCTCCATCTCTTCTCCAGCATCCCCAAAAACTCTCCCCTGCTCCCCTCTCTCCTCCCTTTCGCTTCCGTTGGGTGCTTCTCAATCTATCCAACTACGGAGTGTTGCAGCTAGCTCCTCCCATGCTACCCTCCTCCATCTCTTATCCAGCATCCCCATACATAACCTCTCCTCCTGCTCCCCTCTCTCCTCCCTTTCGCTTCCAGGTGCTTCTCAGTCCGACAAACTACGGAGTGTTGCAGCTGGTCCCTCCCATGGAACCCTCCTCCTCCATCCCTCCTCCACTTCTACACCTCCCCCCGCCCATACCACCCCTCTCCGCTGCCTCTGCTGCCTCTGATGCCTCCGCTCCTTCTGATGCCCCTGTTGACGCACCTCTTGCAACCACCGGCGCAACTGCCGCCACCACTGCCGCCACCACCATCAGCAGCAGCGGCACTGCCACCAGCAGCACCATCAGCAGCAGCGGCACTGCCACCAGCAGCACCATCAGCAGCAGCAGTACTAGTAGCAGGAAGTCAGAGGAGCATGCGAGGGGGATGGCCTCAGCAGTGACAGTGATACAGGTGGAGTCTTTGGAACGGATCCTGCGCTCTGCTTCTGACACTCTGTGAGTGTGAGTGCTGGGAACGAGGTGAATGGGCTGCTTTTTAGTCGACTCCAACCAAGGTCAGCATAGGAACAGGCTGAAGCAGTGGCAGTTAGGCAGGCAGGTGGAGGCTTCTGAACAATTTCTGCGCTCCGCCGGTGACTTTCTGTGAGTGCGAGTGGTGAGTCACTCTGTTGGTGCTGGGAACGAGGTGAATGGGGATGGGGCGACGTGCTGAAGATGGTGAACATGCCGAAGGAGTGGTAGCTAGTTTTTGAGTCGACTCAAAAGCATGCCTGAAGATAGTGAGGCAGGTGTGGTCTTTGGACGGATCCTCAGTCGGTTTGCTGCTGACACCCTGTAAGTGGGTGTGGTGAGCCATGCGAGTGTGAGTGGTGAGAATGAGGCTAATGAGGCAGTATGTAAACACGTTGCCACATTGTTTGCTGGCCAGTGGATATTTGAGTCGACTCGACAATGGGAGAGAAGCGATTGCTTGAACCAGGAAAGCGTGGCAGCGAGGCAAGTGGGGTTTCTGGAATGGATCCTTCGTTTTGCCTGGGACACTCTGATTGGTTGGTGGGAAATGACGAGAATGTAGGATCGTGGGAACACACATTGAAGCAGTGGCATGGCAGCACGGCAAGTGGAGTTTTTGGTTGTTGCGTAATGACTCACTCAGCTTGTGAGTGAACGAATGCGTTGCTGCTTGGTTCCTACTGTTAGTGTTAGCCCTCAATCTCACACTTTGTACTTTGTATTTTCTATATCCTAGAGTAGTGTAGTTTGCACTTTGTGTTTGGTTGGGTGTACACCTACATCCCAACCAAACCCAAATGTAATCTCCAAGCAATCTCCAACCCACCAATTGGAGATTGCCTTGGGATTACCCCCAATCCCTGGGGATTGCCCCCGATTCCCTTCCCCATCCATTCCTTACCCTTCTTGGATGTACTTAAAGAGCTTCAAGCTCATTACTAATGCATCGCTTCTAAGCCTAAGTTCTGACATGGTATCAGAGCTCTTCAACCGCACACGCGGATCATGATCCTCCTAACTCTGCGGATGCTCGTCCCGCAAACCTCGGCGTAGCCACCTTCAATCTCGTCGTCGGTGATTCGCGACATTCGTGGGCGGAAATTCTCCCGCACCACTTTCCCGTCACTTTCGACGACATCTTCCATTTTCACTGCTTCTCGTTGGGCCGCCGCCCGTCGCCCCGCAGCTTCTCGTCGGGCCGCCGCCCGTCGCCCCGCAGCTTCTCGTCGGGCCGCCGCCCGTCGCCCCGTAGCTTCTCGTCGGGCCGCCGCCCGTCGCCCTGCAGCGTCACCTTCGGGCTGCTGCCCGTCGCTCCGCATCTGCACTCCTACCCCCATCCCCCCTTCCCGCAGCTGAACAGGTGCAGCAGCGCAGCCGAGCAGCAGCGTAGCCGCGAAGCTGAGGGTGGTGTGTGGGGGGGTGTGTGGGAATAGGATTAGCAGGTAGTTGACACTAAATTGGCGTTTCCATCAAATTCTCCTTCAGAAACCCTAAACCTCAAAATTCTCTTTCGTAAACCCTAAACCTTGGGTTCTTCAAAATCTCCTTTGGAAACCCCAAACCTCAAGTTCCTATCGGTGACTTAAGAGCGGCGCTCCGCGCGAGACACTAAGAGCTCCTCATCATGGCATTTGCCTCATCCACCATGGCCAACCCCATCACTCCACTCCGCCTTGAAGCCGATGGCTCTAGCTCCAACTTCAAGGCATGGAGCTATGGGGTTGACAAGCACCTCTTGAGTCGTGACGTGCAAAGATTGGACCTCAAGGACGTCCTCCTCAATCGTGGCAAGGGAAAACAGCCCCCAACCCCTCGTGAGCCGACCGAATCCGCTAGTGATACTGACATGAGGGCGTACGAGGAAGCTGTTGAAAAGTACCGGAAATGGGAGAAGGCCGATGCTGCTATCATCAGCGTCTTCATTGCCTCCACCCCTCCCGAACTTGTCAACACGTTCCACAACTACCCTACCTCCAACGCCATCTGGAAGTACCTCCAGGATCGGTTCATGAACAAAACGGTGGTCGGAGTTGCCATCCTCATCCCCAGCATGTTCCAGGTCCGCCTTGAGGATTGCTCGGGAATGGCTGACTACATCGCCAAGGTGCAAACTATTCATGGCGAACTTAAGGAGCTGAGTATAGTATTCCCCGAACAAGCCCCTGCAGCCGCCCTTCTAGATGGTCTCACCTCGGCATATGAAGTAACGAGGAAGATGCTCCTCACGCTCTCAGCGGAAGACCTCACCTTTGCTAAGGTCTCCACCGCACTCCTCTCTGCCGAGAAAGACTCCACGGCTCAGGCCAAGGCTTACGCCATCCGCGCTCCCATGCTGCAAGCAAGTATCGCATCGGCCCTCGCCTCGGCGCCCTTCCAGGGCAACCGCTTCCCTCCGTGCACCTACGTCGTCAAGTATGGCAACCGCAAGGGACAAGTGTGTGGTGGCACTAACCACCCCCTTGCGACGTGCTTCAAGAAGAAGGACGACGAATGGTATGCCATTCACGGAGTGGGCAAAAAGCCGCCAAACTGAATGCGTCCTCGTAAGACCAACCTAGTTGAGGTCCAGGACCCCGCTTCGGCTAGTGCTAGTGATAGTGCTCCTGCTGATGTGCGTATCAACCTGTTGTTCCCTGGCACTGCCATGATTAATGAAGCTACCTACCAGTACATCGGCTCATCACAGGCACCACAATACATCGAGTTCACACTCGACAGCGAGGCCACCCACACTGTGCTCAAGAAGACACTCTCCTTCAAACCCTACGCAACACCCATTCCTCTCTTGGGAGCTGACTCAAGCTTCACCACCCTTGCCAAGGGTACATCTACAGTCCCGTGCCCCGCCTTCCCATCTGGCACTGTCACTGGCATGTGCGTGCCTTCACTACGCCACAATCTAGTGGCTCAAACGGAAATTCAGGATGCAGGACTACGCACCATCTTCTCGGAGAACGAGGACCATTGCGACATCATCGATCCACTCACCAACAAAATCTTGGCCCGCTTCACCCTCAATAGCAGCGGCCTCTACACGCTACGCGTACCTCTCCCGCAGGTGTCAACCACCCAAGCACAGGCTACTGTCCCACCATGCTCATGTCGCAGCCTCTCCGACCCGACCATCCTTTACCACCATCGGCTCGGGCACCCGAACTTCCGCACACTTGCTGACATGGCCTCCAAGAAACTCCTTCTCGGCCTGCCAGCAGCGCTTCCTCCACCACCTGACTCACCCGCTCCCACGTGCCTGGATTGCACCAAGAGCAAACTGCGCCAACAGCCCCATCCTGCCTCACCCACAGTCGCACGAGCACCTCTGGACCTCGTGCACATGGACGTCTGGGGCCCTGCCCCTATCCCAGCACGAGGTGGCCATCGCTACTTCCTTGCTATCGTGGATGATCACTCACGCTACGTCTCTGTTCACCTCCTCCACACCAAGGCTGAGGCCCCGGAGGTCATCATGGCATGGGTCAAGCAAGCACAGACCGCCTTCGACCGCAAGGTCAAGCGCCTTCACTCGGATGGGGGGGGTGAATTTTGCAACGACAAGCTCAAAGCCTTTTGCTCCTCAGAAGGCATCTAGCAAAACTTCACCCTTCCCGACAGCCCGCAGCAGAACGGCATAGCAGAGAGCCGCAACCACACCCTGGTGCAGATCACTCGGTGCCTCCTCAGCCATTCTAACGCTCCACTCTCTCTCTGGGGGTACGCCCTCTACCATGCCGCCCTCCTGTATAATCTTCACCCCCACCCTCATTTTCCCGACACCACTCCAACCACACTTTGGCTCGGAAAACACCCACTGCTCGCTCTCTTCGCGTCTGGGGATGCACCGCCTATGTGCTCCTCAACCCTCAGGCCCGGCGACAGCGCGGTGGCAAACTCGGTCCCAAGACTCAAACGTGCATCTACCTTGGGCACAACGCCGACTCCCCTGACTATCTCTCCCTCAACCCCTCCACTCAACAGTTAGTCCGTAGCCGCGATGTTGTCCTTGATGAGATCCGCCCATTTTACTCCACCTCGGGACCGGATCCTCCTTCCGATCTACCCTCTTTCGTGTGAGCGGACTTTGATGCGCACCCTGACCTCCCACCTGCGCCGGTCCCCTCACCTCCTCCCTCTCCTGCCGTCGCACCTTCCCCCTCAGAGATCTCTGACCCGACCTCGCCGGTGTCTTCGGCAGCTGCTCCTCCATCCCCCTCACCTCCCACTCCGCCGACTGTGCAGCCACCTCCGAGCGCACCTATCACCTACCATCAGCGGTCACACCCTCCGGCCCCACATCCTCCCCCAGTTCCCCCTACCACAGAGGAACCCGCT